AACCCAAAAACTGTGGACAACCGCCTAGACAGATCCGGCGAGGAGACCGTTCTCGCTTCAAATCTGGACTCTGGAAGACTTCAATTTCGGCGAAAAAAGGAGGAGTCGCCACGAACACACTGGAGGGCTCGAAATCAAGACCCGAGGAAGGACCACCCAAGGCTACCACCGGACGAGCACTAGCAACCCAGCCACTCGGTGAACAGGCGGGTCGCGGCCAACTTGGAGAAACTCACACCAGAGTCGGGCATCCACGCCCTTCTTACGGGCATCGCAGAGACAGAGCACGAGTCTGACTCCAGCAGAGCGACGACTCCTACGGCTGGAACCAGAAAGAGGTAGCAGCAGCGGCGCCCCCTCCGCGGCCATGGACATGGAACAATGAGACCAGCCGTCGATCGGGTCTCCCGTCGAGCTCTGGAGGGGGCGAAATGAACGGAATCAGTCGTGCCTCAGTCTGGAAGGGTGGAGGTCGCAGCACCTCACCGGCAGAGAAGGGGGGGCGAATAAGGTTTTTTTTAGAGGACTTATTTATTGTTTTGAGTCCAGATTAAAAAAAAAATACATATCATATATATTTTGTTGGATTTTGAGTTTGTGAGTAAATATAATTTCTGAATGTGTTGAGTTTAATTGCAGATTGGCACGCTTAGGGGTCTTATTTAGCAGCATTTTATGTTGCATCGTTTGGCTTAGATAACTTTTAATTTATTTTCAATCTATAAATAATTAGGCTTGACATTATCCATAAATATATTATGAGCATTAATTGTATTTTAATATAACTTTTTATTCTTAGCGTGATTTATAAGGAATGAAATTTTTTGTCTCTGTATTTCTTTTTCTCCTAATTTTTTTTTAACTATAATACATTTTACTTACTCAAATTGTAAATATATTGTAAAGTAACTTTTATATTTAGTATCAATTTTTTTATATACTCCCTCTTATTTTTAATAAGTGTCGTTTTGAGAAGTTGCACAATAATTAAACATCTATATTGTATGATAAAGTAAATAAATAATTTTATCTCTATTTACAAATAATAATTAAATCATCTATTAATTTTTGTTAAAAAAAAATCATTTATCAATTAAATCATCCATACTAGTTGTACTACAAGACAACTAATAAACTGAATTTCACTTGTATTTTGGGATTTGAACTTCTATTTTCTATTCTTTTAATTTATTTATTTAT